TGGCCTGTACGGGCTGGCGGTCCCGGGGTATCGTCTACATCATCGGTGGGATGTTCGTGGGTGGACACCAACACCACTTCCAGTTGAGGGACCTCACCCCACTCGGTAATGGTAAACCAGCTCAGGTATCGGGGGATTGCCAAGCCCCTAGGTACCCTTGGGTACCCCCCTGCAGGAACCCTCCAGGACATGTCTATGTGTTCCCAATGATGTTGCAGTTTACGAGCTTTGAGCTCATTACTGCTTCGATCATAATCTTTTGCCTATCCGTTTCCCAATACAGATAGGTGTTTTTACGAATTTTGTGTCGTTCGTTTTTGTGAGTTACTTAGCCGTAGGGTTTTTTGCCCTCGTTTCCGTCCCCGCCACGTGGAGGCGAACCCATTTCTACTTCTTTTTAGACATTTTGTTTCTTTTTGCAGACATTTTTGTTGTTTTGCTTTGGATCGTGCACAGCACAATCTGTGTGTATATTACTTGGTAATATATTACTCTTATGTTAATTTATAAATAGTTCGTAAGGTTTTTGGATTTTGTTTTGTTCGATTTGTGGATGTTTCATTTGTTTTGTTATGTCTCCAGGTCACAACTTTGTTGTAAGGATATTGCGATTTATGAATTTGTTTCGTTCCCGTCCGCAGGTACACGTTTCTCTCTTCGCAGACTTGTTTCACGAAATCTACGAAGAGGTGGAAATTTGACTTCGTTTTAATGAGGTTTTGCCAGTTTGCACTGGAATCCCTCAGGAGCTCATATCTTAAGTGCTCGTATTTTGAGCACCCTCCAGGACAGCGGCAATAGTGGTCACCACGCTGCCCGGAGGGAAGTGGAAGGTGCGAGAGGTTCCCTCGGGCGCTAAGTCCAAGATCAAGCTTGCTGACATGGGGATCTCTGTAATCAAGCCCCGTCGTGCCATGACGGGGGCGATGATTCTGGAGATCCCCGGAAAGGGAGGGACCGTAAAAGCAGACGCACTTGTGGTCAAAATGGTGGAAGTTGTGGGTGGGGATACGTGAAGATCGCCCGCCCACAGAAAAAATCAGGAGGTTCGTGTATCCGGCTTGGACGATAGCGTGACCTCTCAGGAGGTGATGACGGCTGTAGCCTCTGCCGCAGGTTGCACCGAGGGAAAGGTCATGGTCCTCCGACCCCATCTCCCCAGATCTGATCTCCCGCATGGGGGCTTGCTCGGAAGATAGTCTCGTCCGGGCGGCTCCAGGTGGGCTGGTCCTCAGCAAGGGTGGAGGCGTTGCCGCCCCGCCCCATGCAATGTTATAAGTGCCTGGAACAACGGCACGTTAGAAGCGCCTGCAGCTGCCCGGTTGACCGCAGGTGCAGATGTCACAACTGCGGGGAGCCCGGTCACCGGGCAGCTAAGTGTCCTGCGGCCTCCCCTATATGTCCGCTTTTCTCGGACATGGGGAGGCCATCGGGGGACCGCCTGGGCAGCAAATCCTGCGCCCAGGCAGGCAAGAAGAACAGAAGCAGGGGGAATAAGGTGGTATCTATAATCCCCCCCGTCCACCCCAACCTAGTGACTTCGGTCCGGTGGTGGTGGAGATGGCGGCGGCGATAGCCGAGGAACCTACGATGGAGATGAAGGTAGTGACAGGGGCCACCCCTAAGTTAAGTGCGGGCGGGGAGGAGTCCACTGAGAAAGCAACGCCTTCGTAGTGTTGCAGACAAACCTCAACCACTCGGCCAGGGCACAGGACTTGTTCCTGCAAACCCTGGCCGAGTGGAGGAACGGCCTCGCGGTGGTCGCAGAGCCCTATAGAGTCCCTAACAACGATCCGGGTTGGATCGGGGACTTGCGGGGCCCCGCTATCGCACCCCATCCGGCACTGGTCCTGGAGGATTTCAACGCCCACCACGAGATGTGGGCGTCCCCCAGGACTAACGCGACGGGCCTGGCGGTGGCCGATTGGGCAGCGGGGCTGGACCTCCGGTTGATAAATCGGGTTTCGGCCCACACATGCGTGCGGTTCCGGGAACGGTCCATTGTCGACATGGCTTGGGCCTCCCCTCTCGCCGCGCGCAGCATGTCGGGGTGGAGGGTTGACGAGGAGGTGGAGACACTTTCGGATCACCGATATATTCGGTTCGAGGTCTCCACCGCCATCGCCCCGTGCTGCTCGGTCGCCCGATCACCGCGGAAATGGGCGTGGCCTGGCCGGAGCAGCCGGTTGGGCCCGTCGCGGATATGGAGGGAGAGGCAAAGTGGTTCCGGGGTGCGCTTCTCGACATATGCAATTGCGCCATGCCCCGGGTCAGGCCTCCCCATAGGCAGGCGGTGTATTGGTGATCGGGCGAGATCGCGGAAATGCGCAAGAACTGCATTAGGGTCCGACGCCAATACACCAGAGCCCGCCGGAGGAGGATCCGCGACGAGGTGCGAGAGGCGACGCTTTGGGGACTCTACCGCGAAAAGGTGGAGTCCCTTCAGCGCAGCATCAGGAGGGCCAAGACCGAGGCATGGAGGGAACTCCCCGGCTCTCTGGACTCATGGAAGCGCCCATACCGATTG